AAAATCATGGAAAGGGCTAGAGAGCTGCAAAAGGAAGTAAAATGGGGGTAAGAGTAGGACAAGTGCCCTGCAAACAAATGTGGATAAGGAAATCACTTAAAATAACATAAAATACCTAAAAATTAAAAATACAGCTGAGCCATAAAATACCACTAGATGGAATCTTTTATTTTAGCTTTGGAAGAACATAAATCTAAATCTAAAGCATGGCTGTCAGGAGCATCACCATAATTATCCATCTGAGAGAGGGTTGGAGTGCAGGGTATTCTCTTTCATAGTTCAAACTGAGCTCAACTCCTGATGCATGGAGAAAAGGCCTTCACAAGCCTCTCCTATTGTGTATATAGTTTATACTAAGTGATCCATAGGTTGAGGAGGCGGTGACCGTGGCGGTGTAGGTGGAAGCGGCTGTGGAGGAGGAGGATGAGGTAGCCAAAACTGTTTTTTATGTTTGTTTGTTTTTTCTTTTAATTGTGGTAGCCCGCAAAATATTGGGACATACAAAAAAATATACATTTGTGGCCTGCAGTGCATTTCTTGCAGTCCTGATGCATGGAGAAATTCTCAACTCCTGATGGATGGAGAAACGGCCTTCACAAGCCTCTGTTAATGTGTACCTAGTTTATACTAAGTGACCCATAGGTTGAGGAGGCAGTGACTGTGGCATTACATAGTTACATAGTTACATAGCTGAAAAGAGACTTGCGTCCATCAAGTTCAGCCTTCCTCACATTTGTTTTTTGCTGTTGATCCAAAAGAAGGCAAAAAAACCCAGTTTGAAGCAAAATTTTGCAACAAGCTAGGAAAAAAATTCCTTCTTGACCCCAGAATGGCAGTCAGATTTATCCTTGGATCAAGCAGTTATTACCCTACATTGAAAGATTATATCCTTGAATATTCTGTTTTTTGCAAGTATGCATCTAGTAGCTGTTTGAACATCTGTATGGACTCTGATAAAACCACTTCTTCAGGCAGAGAATTCCACATCTTGATTGTTCTTACAGTAAAAAAACCTTTCCTTTGCCTTAGACAAAATCTTCTTTCTTCCAGTCTAAACGCATGGCCTCGTGTCCTATGTAAAGTCCAGCTTGTGAATAGATTTCCACACAATGGTTTGTATTGGCCCAGAATATATTTGTATAATGTTATCATATCCTCTCTCAGGCAACGTTTTTCGAAACTAAATATGTTTAAATTTGTTAACCTTTCTTCATAGCTGATATGTTCCATTCCTTTTATTAATTTTGTAGCCCGCCTCTGCACGTTTTCTAGTGCCATAATATCATTCTTTAGAACAGGTGCCCAAAATTGCACAGCATATTCAATATGTGGTCTTACCAGTGATTTATAAAGAGGCAAAATGATATTCTTGTCCCGAGAATGAATGCCCTTTTTCATGCATAACAATACCTTACTGGCCTTGGCCACTGCTGATTGACATTGCACATTGTTGCATAGTTTGTTGTCTATAACAATTCCCAAATCCTTTTCGTGTGTTGTTATCCCTAATTCGCTTCCATTAAGGGTATACGTTGCTTGTGTATTCTTTACACCAAAGTGCATAACTTTGCATTTTTCAACAATAAATTTCATCTGCCATTTGAGTGCCCAGTCCCCCAGTCTATCTAAATCCCTCTGCAGCAAAGTAATATCTTGCTCACATTGTATTATTTTACAAAGTTTTGTGTCATCTGCAAACACTGAAACATGACTTTCAATGCTGTCTTCAAGATCATTTAAAAATATGTTAAATAGAAGGGGTCCCAGAACAGACTCCTGAGGGACACCACTTGCCACCTCTGTCCAGCTTGAAAATTTACCATTAATGACAACTCTTTGTACTCTGTTTTTAAGCCAATGTTCTACCCAAGAACAAGCATTTTCATCTAGACTTTTTCCTTGAGTTTGAACACTAATCTATTGTGTGGAACTGTATCAAATGCCTTGGCAAAATCCTCATAGATCACATCCACTGCAACACCCGGATCTATACTTCTACTTACTTCTTCGTAGAACGCAATCAAGTTAGTTTGACATAACCTGTGCTTCATAAAACCGTGCTGATTTTTGCTGATAACCATGTTCTTCTCAAGGAATTCTTGAATATTATCCCTTAATAACCTTTCCAATATTTTACCAGCCACAGAAGTTAAGCTCACAGGTCTATAATTTCCAGTCAAGAATTTTGAACCCTTTTTGAATATAGGAACCACATCTGCCTTCCTCCAATCCTCCAGAACACTTCCTGAAAGACAAGAATATTGAAAGATTAAAAACAGAGGTTCACTTATTTCTTCACTTAGTTCCTTAAGTACACGTGGATGGATACCATCAGGCCCTGGAGCTTTGTTTTTATTAACTTTCTTTAGTTGCTGCAGCACCTTGTCTTGAGTTAACCAATTACAATTATTCTGCAAGTTTTTAGTAGCAATCATTTGCACATCTATTGCCATGGGTTCTTCCTTAATATATACGGAGGAGAAATAGTTATTTAAAATTCCTGCCTTTTCCTGGTCTTCATTAACTAACACCCCTGTTTCAGTTTTTAGTGTACCTACACGTTCATTTTTGGGTTTTTTAGAATTTATGTACTTAAAAAATGCTTTGGGGTTGGTTTTGCTCTCTTTAGCTATCATTTTTTCATTATTTGCTTCCTTATATCTTTTATAAGATCCATCCGATTTGTCCGATTTAAGTGCTTTAAATGCCCTTTTCTTAATTTTAATCTCTTGTTTTACTTCTCTACTAAGCCACATTGGTTTTAATTTGTTTATTTTATATTTATTTCCCTATGGTACATACTGAGAAATGTACCTTTCTAATATTTGTTGGAAGATGATCCATTTATCCTCAGTGTTCTTTTCACTAAAGAATTTATGCCAGTCAATATATTGTAAATCTTCCCTTAACTTATTGAAATTGGCCTTTTTAAAATTATATGTTTTAGTATACCCCTTGTGCTTTTTTTTTTTGAGTTTATTTCAAAGGACACTATATTGTGATCACTATTTCCCAAGTGCTCACCTACTTGAATGTTGGTCAAAAGATCAACGTTGTTTGTTAAAACCAGGTTTCAGACAAGCGTCCATTCTAGTTGGTGCTTGTACAAGTTGTGACATGAAGGTGTCATTTAACAAGTTTAAAAACCTAATTCCATTTGCTGAGCTACTAGTCCCTCTGTCCCAATTTATGTCCGGGTAATTAAAATCTCCAATAATTAAAGTGTTACCCAGATTTGCAGCTTTCTCAGATTGCTCAAACAGCTATTGTTCCTCGTCAATATTAACATTAGGTGGTTTATAACATATCCCAACCAATAGTTGGTTTCCCTTCTTTTCCCCCTTCTTTTTTGGAAGCAGTGGTGGAGGAGGAGGAGGTAGCCAATACTGCTTTTTATGTTTTTTGTTTTTTTTAATTGTGGTAGCCCACAAAATATTGGGACATACAAAAAAAAGATACATTTGAGGCCTATGGTGCATTTCTTGCAGTCCTGATGCATGGAGAAATGCTCAACTCCTAATGCATGGAGAAAAGGTCTTCACAAGCCTCTGCTAATGTGTACATAGTTTATACTAAGTGACCCATAGGTTGAGAAGGCGGTGACCGTGGCGGTGTAGGTGGAAGAAGCGGTGGAGGAGGAGGACGAGGTAGCCAACACTGTTTTTTATGTGTTTTTTTCTAATTGTGGTAGCCCACAAAATATTGGGATATACAAAAAAAATACATTTGCGACCTGCGGTGCATTTCTTGCAGTCCTGATGCATGTAGAAATGCTCAACTCCTGATGCATGGAGAAAAGGCCTTCACAAGCCTCTGCTATTGTTTACATAGTTTATACTAAGTGACCCATAGGTTGAGGAGGCGGTGACCATGGCGGTGTAGGTGGAAGCAGCGGTTGAAGAGAAGGATTAGGTAGCTGTGACAGATCCATCTGTATAGACTAAGATTGCTGGATTCGTCTGTTTTGCCGTTTGCATGAATTTACCCATTCGTATGCCTTTGTTTAAGTGAATGTACTTTTCTGCCAAACGGAACTGCCGAACGGACGGCCACCCAGAAGAGAAGTGTGCTGCTGGTTAACCTATTGATCCCAATTAGAACGTTGCGGTTAACCACAGACACTTCACAATTAAAACCGAATACAGGGTGGTCATCGTTCGTATGTCGACCACGAGGTGGCGGCCATTTTAACCATGCGAAAGACCAGCGGTGTTCGACCGTTATTTCATGGAACTGAAAACAGACACTTTTTCAACCGAACACCGCTGAAGCTGTCGACCTCCCTTCTCAATCGACAGAAGTGTGCGAACACCGGCCGTTCAGAAGGTTTAAAGGCAAGAATGGACTTACCCCAGATAGCCTTCCCATGGAGTCAAATGCATACCGAAGAACTGTAATAGACTTTGACTCCATGACGATGGAACTATGCGTATGGGATCTGAGCGCTATTCGCCAATAATATGCACTCAGATCCAGGCTATCTGGGGATATGTGATACGAATGGGTAGCATTCGACAAATGTAAAGTTATATATTTTTATGTGTTTTTATGTGTTGAATGTAAAATGGTGATTTGCCTCTGTCCTGGAGATAATTGAATTACTTCTCAATTATCTCCAGGGCAGAGGGGAGGAATTACTATTGCATGCTGGGAATATTTTGTGTCTGTGGGTCCTGAACTGCTATATGTCTATCTGTTGTCACAGTCTCCCATTTGGTCCCCTAGGGGAGTGTCCACCAAGTGGGAGACCTGCATAAATACGGGCAGGTAGCCCACAGTAAAGCCAGTTCTTGTTTTACCCTCAATGCGGAGCTTGGTCTCGTTATTGGGGGAATTTATTACCGACGACTAGAGACTGCTGGATGGGATTATTAGCCGCTTGGGAGATACCTGCGTTCGGCTGCTATTGGCGATTCGTGAGTTTGGAGCTCGTGAAGTGAAGTGCCTGTACGGACCCCGTTCGTGAGTTTACAGCATTCCCTTGCTTGCGGTTCGTATGATTGTACTGGATATACATGCAGCCTGGGTTATTGCGAACGGGAGCATTTACTAAACGGCGGTTTGTGCATTTCATGCTGAGGGTACCGTAACAGTAGCCAACACTGTTTATATATATATATATATATATATATATATATATATATATTTATATATATATATATTTTTTTTTATTTTTATTTTTTTTAAATTGGGGTAGCCCCCAACATATTGGGACATATAAAAACAGACAACTCTGTTCTCTGTTGACATTATAGTTGTGCAGGCACTTTGTTGACTCTAGAGAACCTCGGGCCAATCGCACATCCCCGTGATGGCGACTTTGCATTCGGATGTCATCCATATCAACTTTCGATGCCAGTTTCTGCGCCTACCATGGTGACCACGGGTAACGGGGAATCAGGGTTCCATTCCGTACAGGGACCCTGAGAAACGGCTACCACATGCAAGGAAGGCAGCAGGCGCAAATGACCCACTCCCAACGCGGGAAGGTAGTGACGACAAATAACAATACAGGACTCTTTAGAGACCCTGTAATTGTAATGAATCCACTTGAAATCCTTTAACTCTGATCAATTGGAGGGAAGTCTGGTGCAGAGCCACTGACCCGTGCGTGCTGCAGCTGAAACTCCACTATCGCCTGCTGCTGCTCGCACAGTCTCATGAGGCAGTGAGCGGGAAGGCTGAAGTTACGCTGCAGCGTAACTTCCAAGTTGCAGATCAGTCTGGTGATGGCTTCTGGTATCCAGTACTCTTTTTACTGAAGGTGCATCAGGGTCCTGATATGTGGCCACACCAGGGGCATGCGGTTACCCTGCACCAGATCCTGCTAATCTATTCCACACTGTGACTCCTAGCTTCAACATCAGGCATACTGGGTCCCGGTCGTCCGACTGCCGCCCAGACAGTGTCTGGGTCCTGGTTACCGGACTGCCCACTTGACTGTAAAGCTATGAATGGATCGTTAAATCTGGTACGAACCTGAACTTTGTAGTTCGGGTTCGCTCAACTTTATTATGGATCCTTTGATCGCTACATGTATTACTTGGATAACTGGTAATTCTCGAGCTAATACATGCCGATGAGTGCTAGAGGACGACCGCACTGCTTTTGCACCCTGCTCCCTCTTATGCTGTGCTGGTGCCTCTGTGCGACTAGCGCCTCTTCCTCCAAACTGCACACGTCACTCGTATGACCTTGATTCCATGTGGGGTCTAGGACCTCATCATCCTCCACATCATCTTCCACCCACTCCTCAACTCTGCCCTATTTGCCGGTAGGCACACTGCAGAAAGCCACAGCAGTTGGCACCTGTGTTTTTCCAGCATGTAAAGTCTGCAAAGGTCATATGGAAATTGTTTTAGAATTGTATCCAGGCAACAGTTTTCCCTATAAACTGACCTCTCAGTTTGACTTGTGAGGGTATTTCCCCAGAATTACAAAATTGTTGAAGTACCTCTTAGCTATTGATAACTGGTTTAAATATAGCAGCTTGTTATCTGGTAGTTTCTAGTGTAGAAAATATAATTCTGTTTTCTATCACTTAGATCTGTGTAACAAGTGTTGTAGGTGTGAAACAATATTACAAGGGACCGATGTAGTAAATTCGAATCAAAGTTATGCTTCGATTTGACTCTCAGATATGAAGGTAACACCCCAAAATGTACTATTTAGCAGATTAGCACCCAGAAAATAATAATGTTTAGCACTGCGCTGTAAACGCACTATAAGACACTTCTATTTGACTCTCAGATATGAAGTGCACCGCAGGCCGCAAATGTACTATTTAGCAGATTAGCGGCAAAACAATTAGAATTTTTACAACTGTGCAGTAAGCGCACTATTTGGTGCTTCGATTTGACTCTCAGATATGAAGAGCAGGCCCCAAAATGTACTATTTAGCAGATTAGCAGCAAAACAATTAGAATTTTTTCCACTGCACTGTAAGCACACTATTAGACGCTTCTATTTGAATCTCAGATATGAAATACACCCCACTAATGTACTATCCCACTAATGTACTATTTAGCACCAAAACAAATGGACCTTTTAAAACTCTGATGTAACCGCGGTATTTGAAGCTTCTATTTGACTCTCAGATATGAAGTGCACCACACTAATGTACTAATTAGCAGAATTATTTCCTAAGTTGTTCCTATCAGTGGCATCATCCTCTCCCTACACTAATAAGACCTCATGTGCGTGCGGCGTTACGCAACTCCAGCTTATATATAGAAGCAGGGTCACATGTTGCACTGGCCAATCACAGCCATGTCATTAGTAGGCATGGCTGTGATGGCTTCTAAGGGCACACGAGTTAAATGCTTGTTGATTGGCTGCCCTGCAGCCTTTGAAAACGCGTCATTAAATCGCCAAACACCGAACTCCAACCCGAACATATAGTGATATATCCGTGTTCGGGTCCGTGGTCCAAAAAACTGAATGTTTGGTATGAACCCAAACTTTACAGTTCGGGTTCACTCATCTCTAATCATGAGTCACTTATACGTTTTATGAATTATCAACATTACATACTTTCTCTGTTCTGAGCTTGCCCCTCCCCCCTTCTCCACCCCCCTTATACAGAGCAAAAGCCCATCTCCTTTCTGTCCTATCTCCATTTTGTAGATTGCTATGACCCTCCCCGCTACTAGTTTAAAATATCCTCCAACCTTCTAGCCATCCTATCCCCCAGCACTGCAGACCCTCTCCCATTTAGGTGCAACCCATCACTGCTATAAGGGTTGTACTTCAAGACTTCAGCCATGCACTGACCTCTCTAATCTCCTGCTGCCTTTCCACTGTAGCATGTGGCACATTGGAGGTCCTTTTCTTAATTCCCTGAAATTATTCTTTAGGACCTTCCATCTTCCTCTTACATTGTCATTAGTACCAACATGGACCATGACCACTGGTTCATCCCCAGCCCCTCCCTATAAACCATCCACTCTGTCAGCCTCATGCCGGACCCGAAACCAACATGACAAACCTCAAGATAAACTGTTTATTCCGTTACTTAAAAGAAAGGATGTACTCAGAGTGGTTCACGATAACGTGACGGCAGGCCATCCAAGTATTAATAAAACCTTGTCCGCTATCTCCAGGTCGTTTTGGTGGCCTTCTCTTAGAAAAGACATCAGGGAATATGTGGAGGCATGTACTGTTTGTGTGGTTTCTAAGGTTCCCCACAAACTACCTCGTGGGCTTTTACAACCGCTTCCTGTACCCAGTAGTCTATGGCCCCATTTGTTTATGGACTTTTTCGTGGAACCACATATTTCTAACGATTACAACACCATCCTGATGGTTGTTGAGCGCTTTTCTAAAATGGCACACTTTGTTCCGCTTAAGAAGATTCCCTCTTCTCAAGAGCTGGCCCACAGATTGATACACAAAACAGATTGCATTGTATTTCACTTAACATGTGTCAGATAAGGGTTCCCGGTTTGTGTCACGATTTTTGAGAGCATTTAACAAACAGTTGGGTATTGAACTATCTTTTTCGTCATCTTACCATCCCCAAACCAATGGAGCAGCTGAAAGAGCCAACCAATCATTGGAACAATATTTGAGATGTTTTATTAATGACACTCAAGAAAACTGGTCTGATTTACTCCATTCGCCAGAAAAAATGCTACTCATCACTCATCTGGATTCTTTGTTAACAATGGTCGTCATCCTACTGTCCTCCCTGCGGTATTCTCTGACACTGCTATTCCCACTCTTGATGACCATCTCACTTGCATACGTGAGACACGGCTTTGGAAACAACTGCTGCTCGTTTCAAAATGCATGGATAAGAGGCGTGGTGCCAACCATGGTTACCAGGTCGGTAACAGGGTATGGCTCTCCACATGCAATATTAAACTCAAGGTTCCTAGCATGAAGTTCGCACCCAGGTTTATTGGGCACTATAGAATAATTCGCAGGATGAATCCTGTGTCTTATTCTCGGGCTCTCCCCGCCTCTCTGCGTATACCGAATACGTTTCATGTATCCCTACTGAAGCCCCTTATCTGCAACAGGCATCCCTCCCCTTCTGACCCTCCCCCTCCTTTGGTTGTTTCTGGACAGGAGAAGTATGAAATCTCCTTCATACTGTACTGCAGATTTTCTCGAGGGTCTCTGCAGAATTTGGTTGATTGGAAGGGTTATGTTCGTTCTTGGGTTTCTGCTTCAGACATACATGCGGGCTGCAGGATCCGTTCCTTTCATGCCAAATTTCTCCTCAAGTCAGGTCCTGCCCACTTGGTGGGTGGTCTTCAAGTGTGGGGTACTGTCACGTTTCCGCGGGATTCTGTCGGCGTGACCGCACAGAAACACAGCTGTCACACCGACAGAAATAATACATACTTACCTTGCTCGCGGCAAACCGCTACCCTACCTCCTTCCGTCCCGGTCCCAGTGTGTGTGGCGTTCCTAGAGACGCCGGCCGCTGCAGTTCCGGTTTTAATAAGGATATAGCCTTTGCCCATATTAAAGATGGTGCTGACGTACGTGCAACGTCACGTCATAGACGTGCATGCATGTTTTGGGGCCAGAGGCCACATACAGCCAATTACAGATTCAAGAGGGTTATTTGAGCCCAAATTGCCTTTTAAACAGTGCCCTGTTGTGGTTTCCCTTTGATGGTTATCTGAGTTTGTGTTCCTGATCGTGTTTTTCTAGTTTTTGACTTTGGCTCCGTTTTGACTATCCTTGACTTTTGGTTTTTCCTAATCGTTGTGTGGCATTCTGGATCCCTGACCTCAGCAACTATTTTGACTATTCTCGGAAACGTTAAGTCTGGCCATTCTAAAGTCCTGGTTAGACACTATCCTAAGTCATAGGTGTGATACTATTTTTGCGTGCTGGATCAACAGTAATCCTGACACCCAAACATCAGTTGAGACTTGATGAAGGGTACAACTGGAATGCTTTATTATGGCAAGATGGCCCACTTTTATACACAGCCAGGAGTCTCTGTGTGGGGAATAATTGACTGTACTTTGCTTAAACTAATTATCTCCTAGGCACTAGAGGTACAGATAATACAACATCCCAAAACATACATAATATTAACAGGGATCCCCACAAGTTCTATATCCCCAGATAGCCTGGGTCTCCCAAAGTGTCCAAATAGTGCTCAGATCCCATGAAGACAGCCGGTAAAGTTTTTACCGACTGCACATGTGGCGTCTGCCCAAAATAGTTTTTCTGAGAAAAGTGGTAGCGGTCGGTCACTTTAGGGAGACCCAAAACAAACAAAATACCAAACAATTTCACTGGCTTATAGGTAGCAATTGTCCCTCTGGTTCGTGTGTACCTTTTCACCGAATAGCGCTCTCCTGGCTTGTCAGGAATAGAAGCAGGCATTGGTACACAGTTACCCGGTTAAAGTGTCCGATTTGGAGTTCCAGACACTCGACCACTAAGTACTGCTGCCTGCTTTCGGGAGACAAGATGGCCATTTTTCAGTGCACGTGTTGTGGCAGGACCTCTGCCTGTTCGTGAATTGCTGTATTATATTCTGTGTATTATTTTCATATGAATATGCCTGCTCCACGTTCGGAAGGTCCTACACAAAAGGAAATGCATTCACCTCCCGAATGGGGACCACCCCGACCACTCATTTAGAATTTTGGTTTAGAACGTT